TCATGATGGAATGCATATGCCAGAGGCAGAAAGATGTTTTTTTTAAAAAGAAATAATTTCTTGAAGCCTTTCCCTATCATGTTTTATTCAGTGGGTTAAACCAATGACAGCAGGAAGGCATTCTCTTTACAATCCTCAAAGTCCTTCCCACCATCCACCCACGTGTCTCACTGGGATCAGGCAGCGAAAAGTGACAAACTAGTGCTAATGATTTGGGCAATATTAACTTGGTTTTTACATATGGCACACCCTCACAAGGCACTGGGTTTTAAACACTAACCACCCTCCTATGCCATCGATGCCAGCCATTCCTCAGAGGACAGCATTGTTTGCCATAGGACTCTGGGCTTGCGTCCCTCTCCAGAGATCAGAGTAGACAGCAAATGCAGGCTGGGACCCCCACCTCATCCTTCAAGTGGGACTGTGACCTTCCATCTCTATTGTCAGGCAGAGAATTTTCACAACGCTGTTTTAAAAAATCAAAACTACAAGCACTGTTTTGGCTCACATCTTTACCTCAAATAACATCGCAAAAACAAAAAAAAAAAAAAAAAATTGATCGTTGTTATATTCAGGTGACCTTATAGAAGTTTATAAAATTGTGAGGGGCATGGATAGGGTAAATAGACGAGGTCTTTTCCCCAGGGGAGGGGAGTCCAAAACTAGAGGGCATAGGTTTAAGGTGAGAGGGGAAAGATTTAAAAAGGAACTAAGGGGCAACTTTTTCACACAGAGGGTGGTGCGAGTATGGAATGAGCTGCCAAAGGAAGTGGTGGAGGTTGGCACAATTACAACATTTAAAAGGCACCTGGATGGGCACATGAATAGGAAGGGTTTGGATGGATATGGGCCAAGTGCTGGCAATTGGGACTAGATTTATTTGGGATATCTGGTCGACATGGAGGAGTTGGACCATTTTCTGAAGAAGGGTCCCGACCCGAAATGTCAACTTTCCTGCTCCTCTGATGCTGCCTGGCCTGCTGTGTTCCTCCAGCTCCACACCGTGTTATCTCTGACTCCAGCATCGGCAGTTCTTCCTATCGCTTATGACTCTGTGACTTGTCTTTGTGATAGTCTGCTCTATGCAGAATACAAACACTGGCCACATTTAGAAACCACGTTGTTGGCTGTAAAGTCATGCAGACCACCCTGAGGATGGAAAGACAGCTACAGAAATTCAATCTCTTTCTTTCTCTTGAGACATCCATTATCCACCGTACAAACGATAGGTGAAACAAGAATTTTCCGCTCAGCCCTGAATCTCAGCACCCTGCTGCATGGTTTGCTGGCTCGCACGGAGTCAAATGTTTATGTATTTGAGTCCTGCACCAGAGATTTAAGGCAATAACCAGGTGTCACACTGTCAGTGCGAAGGGAGTGCAGCACTGTCAGAGGCACAGTCCCCTAAAAGGCCATTGGATGGAACCACCACCTGCTTTCTCAGGTTAACTTGGAAACAAGATCATGAAAACAAAGCTGCACAGAGTTCTGGGTCAACATCTATCATCCACACATTCTCATTTTAACAAAATATCAAACTTTCTTACATTTAACACTCTCAGAGAGTTGTTTTTCTCCAGTTACTCTGGTTTCCTCACACAGTCCAAAGATGTTCAGGTTGGGCTGGCCATGCTAAATTACCCATAGTGTCCAGGAATGTGCAGGCTAAGCGGGTTGGCCATGGGGAATGTAGAGATACAGGGATAGGGTGTGTCTGGGTGGGATGCTCTTTGCAGGGTTTGTGTGGACCTAATGGTCTGAATGGGCTGCTTCTATGTTGTAGGGATCCTGTTCTATGATTAGAAAGCCCATCAAGATAGGTATAGAATAGTTAGATACAGAGTAAAACATTCTTCACACTTTCAAAATGAAAGTAAAGTTTCCTTTGTATTGTCCCCATCGAACACTTTTAGCACAGGTACAGCATGAGGTCAGATATAGAGCAAAGATCCCTCGATACTGTTCCATCGAACGCTCCCAGGACAGGTATAGCACAGGGTTAGAGACAGGCTAAAGCTTCCTCTAGCCTTTTAAACTGAAAGTAAAGCTTCGTCTACATTGTCCCCATCAAACACTCCCAGGACAGGTACAGCACAGGTTTAGAGACAGACTAAAGCTTCCTCTACCCTTTTAAACTGAAAGTAGAGCTTCGTCTACATTGTCCCCGTCAAACACTCCCAGGACAGGAACAGCACAGGGTTAGATACAGAGTAAAGCTGCCTCTACACTGTTCCCATCCAAGACTCCCAGGACAGGGACAGCACAGGGTTAGATACAGAGTAAAACTGCCTCTACACTGTTCCCATCCAAGACTCCCAGGACAGGAACAGCACAGGGTTAGATACAGAGTAAAGCTGCCTCTACACTGTTCCCATCCAACACTCCCAGGACAGGGAGTGAATTGCCAATGTCCTAGTTCTGCTTACATTCATGGATTCATACAGCATGGAAACAGACCCTTCGCCCTCCTACTTATTGACCCCTTTGTGGTTTCAGTCTGGACAGGCTTTGAACCTGTTTCCCAAAGTCTTTGATGGGTTTAGTTCTCACTATGCCACCTCGATCCCTCAACAACCATTGCTCTGTATTTTGACAATGGTTTTCATTTTAGGGAACCATGTGGAAGTTATCACAGATGACAGGCCACCATAACTATTTTGGGATTCTCTATTTGTGATGCTGTGTGCTGTCATGTGATAGGGCTGTAGTCACAGCCTTCACTCTCCCTGTGACCTTCTCCTGACACGCAATCTTCTGTAACCTCTAATCCTCCAAAACTAGTCCTTCATATCATTCCAATTTTCATCACTCCACCACTAGTGGCCTTGTCCTCAGCTGTCAAATTTCCAAGCTCTCAAAACCACAGTCTCCAAATCTCTCCATCTTCGAAAATGTATGTTCAGTTAACACCTTCCTCACTGACCAAACCTTCGCCATCTGTCCTATGTCTCCGCATGTGGTTCAGTGTCAAAATTTGTTTGCTAACACTCACACGCTGGGGAGGTATTTTTTTAATATTGTTGAAAGCACTAAGTGAATGCAAGTTGTTGTGGTCCGCATCCAACCAATATAACCCATCCCTATGATACTGTGCTGAGATCCCCTTCCAATACCCTTAAACAGTAGGTCTAAAATCTTCTGATCTGGTGACTCTGGGAGCTGGGGGAGATTTGGAAATGTAGGTGGACTTCGTGTTACTTTCACTATCTTCACTTACCCAGCAGAGAGAAATAACAGAACAGCAATGCAATTGGAAGCAAGGGAAGCAGGCAGTAAAAACAATATCTCCTTCAAGCACAAGTCCCCTTCACACCAGACGCTGATCAGACTTTACATGGTTTGTGAGAAAACACACTTGCCTTTCTTTTAAAAAAATTCTCCTCCTCACCCTCCAGCACCAATTCACCCAAGAAACCCTTCTCTGGTGTGGAGGACAGAGTTTGTAAGTTGGGTTTCCTGACTGGGACATCAGATTTCTGAGAGGTCAGCCTCATGTTGTGAGGGAAATGGAAGCTAACTGGGAAGGTAACATAAGGCTGAGAGATTGGATATCAGTCAACGGTCAGAACAGGATTGAGGTTCGGAAAAGCTGGAGAGCTGCGTACTTTCTTTACCAGAGACAGACGATGGTGTCTCTGTAAAGCTATACCATCAAGACTATTATGAACTGAGTGAAGACGTCCCAGTGGGAATGAGCCCGTGCTGCTGTTAATCACATCTGTGGAACCCAGGTGGAGCTAGTAAATGATTGCACCTCCTTAAAAAGTGAAACCTGCTACATCAGTTTCTTCAATTGAGGCAGTTTGGGAAGTTTGATTCTTTTAAATTATTAATCAACAGGGAGTGTAACAAAATATTTCTGTGTTTTAGTGTTCATAAGGTGTATTCGTGTGTGTATGAGCATGTGAGTACGTGTGTGTGTGCGTATGTTTGTTGCCTTGTGGATGTGTGAGAGTGTGCCTAAGTGTGTGCATACCTTTTCTGTTGGGTGCATGCATGTGTGCGTGTGTATGAGTGTAAGGACGCAGAGGGAAGGTGTAAGAGAGTGAGTGGGTAGTGTGTGTGTATGTGTGTATGTGCGTGTGTGTGTGTATTTGTGTGCGTGTGTGTGTATGTGTGCGTGTGTGTGTATATGTGCATGTGCATGTGTGCTTGCGTGTGCGTGTGTGCATGCGTATATGTGTGTACGTGCGTGTGTGTGTCTGTGTGTGCATGCATATATGTGTGTGTGTGTGCATGTATGTGTGTGCATGTGTGTGTGCGTGCGTGTGTGTGAGAGGGTGGATACCAATAAGTCAGTGGAGTATGAGTGTGATAATGAGTGTGAGCATATGAGTGAGTGTCATTGTGTGCCATGTAGCGTGTGAAAGTGTGAGAGTGCGTGAGTATATACAGGGTGTGTAACAGAATGAGTCCAAGTATGTGAGAGTATTGGCAGAGCGAATGTGTGTGTGTGAATGTGAGCATGGGTGTGTCTATGAGAGGGAGGGTCTGTGTACGTGCATGCGCGTGCGTGTGCTTGATGGTGTAAGAGTGTAGTGTGGGAATGTGTTGAGTGGGTGTATGTGTGTCTGTGTGAGGATTTGAGGGTCTGTGCTCAAGTGCCTCAGTGTGTGGTCCACATTATAAATCAGGTGCCTTCAGGCAACCCAATGAACCATCACATACTTCACACCAGAAGAAAAAAAATCGAAACTATCCATTTTCTTTCAAATACCTTCAAGTGAGATCAATGAAATTGTCAGTGGAATTCACTGACTCAAGCTTTTGAGGCTTGTTTTAAAAGGGAAGTTCCAGCTGTTGTATTCACACAGTCTGTAGTGCAATCACTAGGCTTTAATCTCTCTTGGCAATGATGTGTACTGCTCACTTTGCATTCTGTATAACCCCCTCCCCCACAGACACTTAAACAATGGAGGTGAACAGAATGGGGACGATATCTACACAGTTTAGAGCATTTTGCAGTCATGCTGTATATGAAAGGAATGGTGACTACTTACCGACAGGGTGTGCTGGAGACACAACACAATGGAGGTGGGTGGAGGTAACAAAGGATTTGATAATTTTTTTAAGAAAAAAAAAGAGAAATCATGAAGTTAGAATGAATGAAGCATTTGATGTTTACACACAGGGTGGACAACTTTATCAACACACTCAACAGGCTCAGATATCTATAGGCTCGGAGCCAGACTTCACTGCTGGGTCTGTACTCCCAGTATTGAAGAATTGGAGGTATTTTACTGAGTTTCATGGAGAGAAGGAGGGGAGGTGGAATTGAGGGATGTGTGGACAAGGTAAGGAGGTAGACTTGAGGGATGAGGGGAGAAGGTGGGGAGGTGGGATTGAGGGATATGGGGAGAAGGTGGGGAGGTGGGATTGAGGGATGAGGGGAGAAGGTGG